AGTATTACGGATGATTTAAAACCGTATCAAGAAATGTTTGAGCAGCTCAAGAGACAACAACGACAGTTGCCAATCACCATGTTTTTCAAGGAAAGACAACCAGCAGCAGATGAGCCTATGCAATCAACTTTGAGCTGAACCAGAGCCAACCACTTTATCTACGACTTGCTCTCCATCCCCTGTCTCCTGGATCGACATCAAGCCCTGACAACCCTCCGTAAATACCCCCTGTAATTAAAAATACAGTACTGTAAAATTATATTTTGCATATGTACTCTTTATATACTGTACATTACTGTATACATTATACATATTACTGTACAGGATTGTATACACAAAACTGTATACTGTACTTTATGGGCGATTTAAGGGATTTTCAAGGATAATTTTGACAATATGCGATTTTTGCCTTATGTGCAGACTTTAGAACCTAACCCCCGCATCAGATGCGACTTCACTGTACATAAGGTCAGTTACAGCACTGCAGAACACTGAACAACAAAGCCGCAAAATCAGAAAGAGGTGAAGAAGTTTTCAAGAAAGGAGAGGTCTATAAATATCTGCTGCAGATACTCTTATTTGGTTGAAAACTATTAATTCAAATATTGGAATGTCCTCATGTTTTTACTAGAATATCATTCCTGTAATGTCTATTTAAGGCTAAATACAAAAAAGCAAGTAATTCCTTCTTGCTACGTGCAGATGTTAAAAATTTAGGCTAGGTCAACATAGGGAATAAATAAAACCAACAACTCCTACTATTCTACAGACTAAGTCTACTAGGCAAGAAAGAGTACTACGTTGGTGTTCCACAGAAGAGCCCAGAATGGGAGACTGACACACTTTTTCACTTTGCTCCATGTGGCTGCCACTGTGGTAACCAGTGTGGATCATGGAACAGAGGCATAGTGTGCTTTCAATAAGATCACTGCTTAAATGGACAATTTTTTTTTAATTGGATGAGAGCACGGATTAGGTATACATGCATCACAGCAGAACAGACAGGGAATGAGTTAACTCCCTTCAAAAGGGAACCAGACAGGTGGCTGTCCCACCCTGAGGATGGTGTTCAGTCTGCTGGGTCAGAAGACAGAATTCCCACCTGGGCTCAAAAGCTGCTATATGAACAGGAAGGGAAATCAGCTTAGGAGGCTCAAAGTGAAGGATGAAGTGTTTTCTTGTATCTGCTTCCAAGTACAAAGAGGTAATGGAGCAAGGAGGCTCCGAGAGACTGCTTTAGCCCTACCAGAAGGCTGTATTTATCACCAGAAACCCCAAAGCCCTGCTTGCATAAGGTCTGGTCTCCCCATAAAGTTATACCAATTAAAGGTGCGATTTTATACCTATTTAGTTAAAACCAGTATAACTTGTGTACAACACTTATATAAGTTTAAGCCTGCCTATATCAGTTTAGCTTGCACTTCAAAATTAATACAAGAGTTCACACAAACTGATTTCGCTTAACTGTTTCAACTTTTAAATTAATCCCTGTAACTTGTGACAGAAAACGGCTAAAAGAAATTTACATCACTGTAACTGCGCTGATGTTGATAGATTAGTGCATTTTTTCAAATGTAGACAGTGTTCAAGTTAAGACTGTTCAGCTTCCTCTGGCTGAAGTCAGTTTGCTGGATCTGAAATAAAAACTCTTTAGCTAAACCAAAAGGAGGAAATCCTTGGTCTAAACTCTTTGTGAAAGTCTCTACTCTGGCCAGTTTATAAAAGCAAGTTTTTCTAATGAGCCTAAATCTGAAAATAATTTTTAAAAGATTTCAGACAAGTAAATTCTGCTCTTATTTACTCTCGATTTGTCCTAATATAACTCCACTGATTTCTGTGGAGTCACTCTGGAGTTTCACTGTGTAACAGAGCAGAACTTGGCCCTATGTACTAGATAGAACCCTTTTGTACACAATTTCTAAAAGGAATCTGTTGGAACAACAACTGTCTAAGTAGGGATTTTTTCCTCTTCAAGAGAAAGAGGATCTCTCCCTCAGAGACTCAGTTTTGTTTCCTACCTAATGCCACACAAGCTAAGTACCCTGTTTAATTAGGTAAATAACGTATACTCCATTTCAAATTTTCTGGATGACTAAACCACCCAAGCCAGATCCTCATCTACAACTTCACAAAAAGAGTAAGATCGACCTAAAATATTCTCAAGCCTTAGGTAAGATTTTGACCTCAAAGACTGAAACTCCTTATTGGCTCAGAATTTGATCAGAAGGTAAGAAGTTGGTACTGGTAGTTTTGTGGAGCAGAATGATGGAAAAGCTGCATTCAGCTTAACGTTCACTATTTTTACTCTACAATAGAGATTTGAGTTGGTATTATCACTTTCCGAGTATGTTGTTGGAGGAGTTTTTTCTTCTTTATTGTATTTGTCTTGCAGTACATAATATAAATTTTAAAAACATTTTGGAAATGAAAATGCTATTTTATTCAACCTATTTTCATTTGCAAGGCTATCACATTGAGCCAAGGTGGGCAACTGGTAATTATCTCATTTCGAACACCTCTCAACCCTCTTTATTATTCTGTATCAAGTATTATGCTGTACGATACGTGCAACTGTCTTGTCTTATGTCATCAACATCTCAACTCACTGCCAAACAGGATTTCTTTAAGAAAACCCATGTTACTAAAAACGTATTTCCTTAACAGATCACCAGCTATGAAGACAAAACAGTAGCCTAATCTTAGTCAGGATCAATATAGTTTGTTGTTTGAACAGCTGGTAACTGGGCATAACATCAATACCAGATTGTCACTATCTCATGGGAGAAATGGGGAGAATGCATAAGGGACAAACCCTTATTCACAGTGCCCACCTACAGTCATTAAAGTGCACTAGCTATACACTGTACATTTATAGAGGCAAAATATGGAATAAAATTCCATATTATAGATTAAAGCATTAACATTACCAGTGTCCATCACACACAGAACTCATGATCCCACCATTTAGAAAGGACATAGGAGAGCTAGAGATATGAAAAGAAAGGGAACAAAAACTATACAGTGACTTGGAAACTATATTTCTAGGATATAGGAAGAAGACACATGATCATGTGCGCCAGTGGTTCTCTCAACTGGGGGTCTGTGGGACCCCACAACTGAAACCCTAAGCCCTGGCGCCCCTCACTCATGGGGCTGAAGCCCCCAGCTCCCCGCTCCCCCCTCAAGTCGGAGCAGCAGGGAAATGAAACCCAGACCCGAGCTCCTCCTCCCTCTCCCACCCGAAGCTGCGAACAGCAGGGCTGAAGCCCCAACTTGGGCAGAAGCCCTGAGCCCACGAGCAGAGTTGAGGGGGCATGAGGGTGTTGCCCCCCAAAACTGCAGTGCCTTCCCCAGAGTAGGACCGTCCTGTGGGCAGCTCCACACACCCCCTCCCCCCAACACACATACCTCCTCTTCTTTCTCAGCCCACTTCAGGCCCCACCCTCTGGCCAGATCCTAGGTGGGAAGCCAAAGCCAGGCAGTGCGGAGCAGCTGCTTCTTTGGCTGGTGGTGCCATGGAGCGGGCAGCTATGGCATTCCCCCATCTGCTGCTGGTGCCCGGGGTTGCGGCTGCTCCTCAGCTCCCAGACCCCTTTGACTGCTCACGCAGCCGGTCAGAGCTGCCCAAGGCAGGGACCTGGAGAGCCCTCAGGAAGCAGCTACCAGCACACAGACCCAAACAGGTCGGTGGCCTGCTGAGGTGAGTCGGGGGGGAGGGGCAGCACTCCCTTTCTGGACCCTGCTGTGCAGAGCTAGCCTGAGCCCTGCCGGCCCTTGGCCTCCTCTCACCCAAAATAGAAATCAAACTACACCTGCGCCCAAGGGTCCCACCCCTGGCCCAGAGCCCCAAGTTCCCCCTGCCACCGGGCCCTGCAGTTTTTAATAGCATGTTGAGGGGGTCTCAGAAAGTAAAGGGTTGAGAACCCCTCGTGTGCGCAACTCCTTCACAGTTGCATTGGAAAGCCAAATCTTGAGAGCTGCTGAGCATTCAAACGCCCACTGGCTTTAATCAAATCACAGCCAAGCTTTACAAAAAGGAATTACTCAGACACTGTAAATGGAAGGACAAAGATTCTTCGTATACAAACAAGAGGCCAGTAGAAAAGACTCACAAGTAGGTGACTGAAGGACCATCACAAGAGATATTCAAGAACAGATCAGATATATTAGTGGGAATTATTATTATACTATAAATGAATAAAGTGAATGATGTACTGTAGTCCTACAAAATGTGGTAGTGGGGAAACGGAAATCAAGGCAGATAACTGAAGTAGTCTTATCTGGATTTATTCTATATATAAAAAGAGTAGTAAGGTACCATTACAACAACAAAGAAAGTTTAAGTTCACCAATTCACCTGCCTGAATAGAAGCAGCTTAAAGGAATGGTTTGCCAACCGATATTCTTGTAACCTGGGAAAGCACATGCATATATTTTTCTATCAGACTAGTGGGACACCAAGACAACACAATCTGTAATAACTGAGGAGGCAAAAATATTCTTCCATCCAACCACAAAACATCAGAAGGATATAGTTTTATAACTAAGTCCTCCATTGATTGTTTAGCATTACTGTATAAATTAGTTTATTGAAAAGTGCTTTAAACTAACTTTTGCTGACATATTATTCCAAATATGCATTCTCCATCAGCCAAAAATATTTAAAGCTGGAACCCTTGAGTACTTTTGAACGTAAACAGTTGTACTTATTGTTCATTTTATATATTATAATATATATACACACACACACACAAATGCGGTTACATATTTGTAGTAATTCTTAACAGTATATTTTATGGAATGATTTGTAAAGGCAAATGGCATCTAGGCACTTTACACTTTTCAAACAATAAGACAACAGGCAAAATACTGAAACTTTATAATAAATATTCTTTATATAACCATCCTTCTCCTTAATTCCCAATTGCCAAAAATAATCTCGTGGTCAATTAAAGGCCTATCAAATACATACTTTTGAAAGAAAGCACATTAATTCTTACCTCCATTGCTAATGCTGCAGTTTGCTGGTCATAATGATTCAGAAGATTAGGCATAAAGGTGGTATTGTAAGGCAGGTCTTGGCACATCCTTAAGATGATTGGCTCACAAGAAAATAAACTGTGTCCACTTGTATGCCCCACCAAAACATCCAAGAACAAAAGAGAGCAGAACATCAAGCTAGTAGCCATCCTTCTACATGTGAATGGGAGCCAGTCACAGAGGCCTGTCAGATTATCCAATGCACACGTTCAGATATACATGTACCGAAGGTTTGGCTTTAATGCCAGTATTTTTGCTGCTTGTTTGTTAAGAGTCTTCAAAAACTGAAATACTATTTGTGCTGATAGAGTCTTATTCACTCAGTCCGACAGAACACTCGAGACAGATGGGACATCTTGTCTTTTCTTTTCACATTATATAGGTTGTATTAGGTTAACGTGTCAAGTTGATTAACCACATTCCCACACGATAGAACCCATCCTGTTGAAACAGTAGCTGAGCTATGTTCTTCTTTTAACATATGTTCTATAACAGCCTAAAACAAAACAAAAACAGTAAAACCACTATAGTTAACTTCAAAATTAAAAATATAGTTAATTAATATAGAACAATATTAGCACAATAAATATTTAAGGTAATTTGTAAGTGTTGAAGCGAAGTGATTAAATCAAGAGACTCAGAATCAATTTTCAGTTCTGATTTTTCAGTCTCTCTCTGAGACAGAAAGGGCTAGGTGCTCCAAAAATAGCTTGTTCTTCCTATAGGGAAGGAGGGAAATGGAAGTGCCAGTGCTTCTATGTGATGAATCCTAAATATTTCCATCAAAGAGACATTAAGGCCTGGTCTATACTTAAAAACTTGCATCTACATAGCTACAGCATACAGGCATGTGAAAAATCCACACCCCTGAGAACGCAGCTATGCTAACCTAACCTCCAGCATAGCTGCAGCTAGGTCTATGGAAGAATATCTCCATTGGCCTTGCTACTGTTGCTTACAGAGACGGAGCTCCCACCTGCAATTGAACTTAGCCTCCGAATCTGGAACTGCCCTTTGAAGAATTACAACTGAGTTTTCTATGCAATTATTTTTAGTGGAATATTTACAAAAGTTCAGATTGAACGTTTAAAATTTTTTATTTTGAAGTTTTGCTTTTTTGTTTCTCTAAACAATTCACACACAAATACAGTGATAAATCTCAAAAAGGCAAATTTTGAAAAAAAAATCTTGAATAAGGAATAATTCTAAATGAATTATGCCAAAATTAGCTGTTGCAGGATTGCTCAAATCATCTACTTTTGTTTTCAGATTATACTGGCCTGCCTCTGACACATCTGCCTATTCTCTTGATAAACCTTTAGGCAGGCTGGGCAGATGAGCTGGAATATAAAAAAAAAGCAGATGTAATGAAAGGGTCCTGGAGGACAGGAGCTTTAGAAGAGAACAAGTAGAAGAGAAAGTAGAGGAGTATTGACACTTGAACAGCTCCCTTAGCACCATTGCCTCTGCTAACCAGCACATTAGGCAGCATCAGACTAGGCAAGAGCCTCTGCTCTGAGGCATCAGCATATCAAATAAAAGGAGTACTTGAGTCACCTTAGGTTTCAGAGTAACAGCCGTGTTAGTCTGTATTCGCAAAAAGAAAAGGAGTACTTGTGGCACCTTAGAGACTAACCAATTTATTTGAGCATGAGCTTTCGTGAGCTACAGCTCACTTCATCAGATGCATACCGTGGAAACTGCAGCAGACTTTATATATACACAGAGAATATGAAACAATACCTCCTCCCACCCCACTGTCCTGCTGGTAATAGCTTATCTAAAGTGATCATCAGGTGGGCCATTTCCAGCACAAATCCAGGTTTTCTCACCCTCCACCCCCCCCCACACAGATTCACTCTCCTGCTGGTGCTAGCCCATCCAAAGTGACAACTCTTTACATAATCAAGTCAGGCTATTTCCTGCACAAATCCAGGTTTTCTCACATCCCCCCCACCCCCATACACACACAAACTCACTCTCCTGCTGGTAATAGCTCTAAACTGCTATAAACTGTCATCTAAACTGACCACTCTCCAAGTTTAAATCCAAGTTAAACCAGAACATCTGAGGGGGGGGGTAGGAAAAAACAAGAGGAAACAGGCTACCTTGCATAATGACTTAGCCACTCCCAGTCTCTATTTAAGCCTAAATTAATAGTATCCAATTTGCAAATGAATTCCAATTCAGCAGTTTCTCGCTGGAGTCTGGATTTGAAGTTTTTTTGTTTTAAGATAGCGACCTTCATGTCTGTGATTGCGTGACCAGAGAGATTGAAGTGTTCTCCGACTGGTTTATGAATGTTATAATTCTTGACATCTGATTTGTGTCCATTTATTCTTTTACGTAGAGACTGTCCAGTTTGACCAATGTACATGGCAGAGGGGCATTGCTGGCACATTATGGCATATATCACATTGATGGATGTGCAGGTGAACGAGCCTCTGATAGTGTGGCTGATGTTATTAGGCCCTGTGATGGTGTCCCCTGAATAGATGTGTGGGCACAATTGGCAACGGGCTTTGTTGCAAGGATAAGTTCCTGGGTTAGTGGTTCTGTTGTGTGGTATGTGGTTGTTGGTGAGTATTTGCTTCAGGTTGCGGGGCTGTCTGTAGGCAAGGACTGGCCTGTCTCCCAAGACTTGTGAGAGTGTTGGGTCATCCTTTAGGATAGGTTGTAGATCCTTAATAATGCGTTGGAGGGGTTTTAGTTGGGGGCTGAAGGTGACCGCTAGTGGCGTTCTGTTATTTTCTTTGTTAGGCCTGTCCTGTAGTAGGTAACTTCTGGGAACTCTTCTGGCTCTATCAATCTGTTTCTTTACTTCTGCAGGTGGGTATTGTAGTTGTAAGAAAGCTTGACAGACATCTTGTAGGTGTTTGTCTCTGTCTGAGGGGTTGGAGCAAATGCGGTTGTATCGCAGAGCTTGGCTGTAGACGATGGATAGTGTGGTGTGGTCAGGGTGAAAGCTGGAGGCATGCAGGTAGGAATAGCGGTCAGTAGGTTTCCGGTATAGGGTGGTGTTTATGTGGCCATTGTTTATTAGCACTGTAGTGTCCAGGAAGTGGATCTCTTGTGTGGACTGGACCAGGCTGAGGTTGGTGGTGGGATGGAAATTGTTGAAATCATGGTGGAATTCCTCAAGGGCTTCTTTTCCATGGGTCCAGATGATGAAGATGTCATCAATATAGCGCAAGTAGAGTAGGGGCTTTAGAGGACGAGAGCTGAGGAAGCGTTGTTCTAAATCAGCCATAAAAATGTTGGCATACTGTGGGGCCATGCGGGTACCCATAGCAGTGCCGCTGATCTGAAGGTATACATTGTCCCCAAATGTGAAATAGTTATGGGTAAGGACAAAGTCACAAAGTTCAGCCACCAGGTTAGCCGTGACATTATCGGGGATAGTGTTCTTGACGGCTTGTAGTCCATCTTTGTGTGGAATGTTGGTGTAGAGGGCTTCTACATCCATAGTGGCCAGGATGGTGTTATCAGGAAGATCACCGATGGATTGAAGTTTCCTCAGGAAGTCAGTGGTGTCTCGAAGGTAGCTGGGAGTGCTGGTAGCGTAGGGCCTGAGGAGGGAGTCTACATAGCCAGACAATCCTGCTGTCAGGGTACCAATGCCTGAGATGATGGGGCGCCCAGGATTTCCAGGTTTATGGATCTTGGGTAGTAGATAGAATATCCCAGGTCGGGGTAGCCTGTTTCCTCTTGTTTTTTCCTACCCCCCCCCCCCCCCCCAGATGTTCTGGTTTAACTTGGATTTAAACTTGGAGAGTGGTCAGTTTAGATGAGCTATTACCAGCAGGAGAGTGAGTTTGTGTGTGTATGGGGGTGGGGGGGATGTGAGAAAACCTGGATTTGTGCAGGAAATAGCCCGACTTGATTATGTAAAGAGTTGTCACTTTGGATGGGCTAGCACCAGCAGGAGAGTGAATTTGTGTGGGGGGGTGGAGGGTGAGAAAACCTGGATTTGTGCAGGAAATAGCCTGACTTGATTATGTAAAGAGTTGTCACTTTGGATGGGCTAGCACCAGCAGGAGAGTGAATTTGTGTGGGGGGGTGGAGGGTGAGAAAACCTGGATTTGTGCTGGAAATGGCCCACCTGTTGATCACTTTAGATAAGTTATTACCAGCAGGACAGTGGGGTGGGAGGAGGTATTGTTTCATATTCTCTGTGTATATATAAAGTCTGCTGCAGTTTCCACGGTATGCATCTGATGAAGTGAGCTGTAGCTCACGAAAGCTCATGCTCAAATAAATTGGTTAGTCTCTAAGGTGCCACAGTACTCCTTTTCTTTTTGTGTCACCTTAGAGACTTATTTGTTAGTCTCTAAGGTGCCACAAGTACTCCTTTTCTTTTTGTGAATACAGCCTAACATGGCTGCTACTCTGAAGCATATCAAATGATACCATAATGCTGCTACCTCAATAGGCCTGGGAACCAAGGCAGCAGCATCAGGGAACTACTGCAAGCACTGATGCCTAGGCACAGAAGCAATGGATTCTCCCCAGCCAAGGCCTCCCAACATGACTTCATTCTTTTACATAGTCACCACATCCTAACTAGTCTCTTGAAAATCCTATAGCCCCCACTCACCCTACCCCACCTCCAACAAAGTATGGGAGCAGGAAAGAAGATACAGTGATATATGTGAGTGGGACTAGTGTGTTTGACTAGGGAGGCATGAGCAGAGAATCAAAAGCTTCTGCCTTCAAGTATCAGCACTTTAAAGGGTTCTTCCAGTGCTGCTTCCTTGGTTCAAGAAGTACCTCAGCATAGAGGAGCTAGCTCCTATATACCCCAGGCTACCCAGATTGCTCAGGCCTCTCCCAATCAGGCCCTGCTCTGCAATGGTCCCCAGGTCCTTCCACACCTCCTTTTTGCTTTGAGTGCACCAAGTTGCTGACCCTCTAGGAACCATTGCAACAGCTGATAATAAGTCAGAGCACAACATATTCCACCCATCCCTGTCCCCAAAATATCCTGAGGCTGAGAGCTGTGAAAGAAAGTGTATGGTTTTCAGACAGTTTTACGCTGGCTGGGGAGCCCCTTTATGGGGCTATTTCTCTCCCTTCACGATGTAAAAGTGTCAGAAGTGGAAAGTCTTATCCAGTATGCCAATCCTCCTCCATCAAAGGTTTGAGCCTTGAGACTGAGGGCCAAAGTGGAAAAAAAATGAAGTAGGAGAGCTACAAGACAGGTCTAGATGGCCCCTGTTCTCACTACCACTTTATTCTAGAAAATATTAGAAATGGAAACCTAAAGCACAGAACTCAAGCCTCTAACCAAATTGCTATTTGCAAAAGATTCAATGTAGGCCATCACCCAGATAACTGTTGGTACAAACAAGACTTCCAAGAGAACCTCAAGTGTCACGTTAATATTTCAGAGAAGAATCAAAGAACTGACAAACATAACAGGTTTGCAACCAAGAGGGGGTTTACATTAATTTGGGTGTGGTGGACTGTAAGAGCATTCTATACATTAGAAAGCCAAAAGGTTAAGTCCCTTATTCTTTCACCTAAAGGTATTAGAAAGTGGGTGAGTGCTGTGGATGTGGAGATATTTGATTGACATTATATGAATATAGTTAAATTTAAAGCCATGGATTTGTGTACATGCACTTAAAAGCTTCCAATATGCTCATTTTGTAAGTGAGAAAAAATAAATATCAAGTAAATGTATGTATTTCAAGCTTTAAGATGGAATAAGGCAGTAGTTTTACCTCTAGCTGTTTGAGATTGTGGCCATTGAAGCCATGAAAATGCAAATAGGAAAAAAGACAAGATGGTAATCATAAAAATATAATTTTAAAATAACTGACCTTGTCCCCACGCTGCCCATTCCTCCCACACTGACTGAAATGAATACCATGTTTTGAAGATTAACTAGAGCAGATGAAGTACACAGGTAAAGACTCTGAATTTCAATAGATTTCCACAAGAAATATGCCATATCTCTCCACCAACAATTCTAACAGAACTACACCATCACAGTAAAGGAAGCCTAAAGAGCCTTTTACACTCCCACAGTTTAAGTAGCAGAATCATGGACCACAAAGCCAACTCTGCCCACATATCTACACCAGCGACACCATCACAGGACCTAACCAGATCAGCCACACCAACACCGGTACATTTACCTGCACGTTCACCAATGTAATATATGCCATCATGTGCCAGCAATGCCCCTCTGCTATGTACATCAGCCAAACTGGACAATCCCTACATAAAACGCTTTGAAGAACTAACCAGACACCATCCCCAACTTCTACTTAAGGTGTACAGCCCCATTTGTCAAAGTGGATTAAACCTCAGGGTCCTGTGGCACCTCACTACTCTTGCAAGACCAAGTATTCATCCACGCACCGACACTACTTGGTCACCTAAACATCAGTGTATAAACATGCCTTTTCACCTCCAACTTGCTTGGCAAGTTCACCTCTTTCTCCTGGACAAGAACCTAGACCGAGTAATCCATGCATTTGTCACTTCAAGACCATTATGTTATTGAGGCGGAGGTGTCAGCTGGTACAAAATGCTGTTACCCACCTCCATGGTCCAGGTCACCATGAGCACAACAGGCCTTGCTCAAGAGCCTTCACTAGCTCCCAGTCAGTTTCAGATGGCAACCTGAGCCCTCGTTTCTAATCTTCACAAACTATTAATGGATCAAACCCTAGCTCAGGGGTGGGCAAACTATGGCCCGTCAGGGCTTTGGATCCGGCCGGCAGGATTGCCCCCCATGGTGCCGCAGGCCCCACGCCGCTCTTAGAAGCGGCCCGCACCACATCTCTGCAGCCGGGCGTGGGGGAGGGCCGAGGGCTCCATGTGTTGCCCTCACCTCCAGGCACTGCCTGCCGCAGCTCCCCATTGGCCGGGAACGGGGACCCATGGCCAATGGGAGCTTTGCGGGAGCTACCTGGAGGTGTGGCAAGGGCAGCACACAGAGTCCTGTGACACCCCCACCCTCCAGAGGCCGCGCTAGGATGCGGTGCCCGCTGCTTCATGGAGCAGCGTGAGGCCAGGGCAGGCAGGCAGAGAGCCTGCCCTGGCCCCTGTGCATGCCACTGCCACCCCAGAGCCACTTTAGGTAAGTGGCCCTGGGCTGGAGCCCAAACCCCTCCTGCACCCCACCCCCCAAACCTAAGGCCCCTGTTGCACTCCACACCCCTCCTGCACCCCTGCCCTTCACTCCACACCCCTCCTGCACCCCAACCCCCTTCCCTGAGCCCCCTCAAACACCCTGCATCCCTCTTCTGCCCCAATCCCTTGCCCTGAGCCCGTTCCTGCACACCACATCCCCTCCCACACACCGCACTCCCTCCCGCACCCTAACCCCCTGCCCCAGCCCTGCATACAATTTCCCCACCCAGATGTGGCCCTTGGCCCAAAAAGTTTGCCCACCCCTGCCCTAACTACATTAGGGACCCTGTTTCAGTCTAGGCATGGACAATGCAAATGACAAAGCCCAAGACAATGTGTGTTAAGAACTCAGGACTGTGCATTCTTGGTTGATGGGATCCAGCCATAGAATGAACTTCCAGAGTACTTTAGGAATTGTCATACTGGATCAGACTCCAGCTCTTTGTCGTCCAGTATCCCACCTCCAGCAGCAGCCAGCACCAGATGCTTCAGAGGAAGTTAAGAACCCTGCAGTCGGCAAAGCTACATTAGGTCTTGTCCTGATCTAACACAGAAACACTAAGTACTCCTCACTCCATTCTGATCCAGGACTTAAACTGTATTCCCCCGACAGACACAGACACACACACTACTTCAAGCATAGATGTTGGGGAACGAGACAGCAACTTCAACGCCCCCCCCCCATTCCAGATACAGGGGAAATGGGGAAGGGGACACTCCCCACATTCCACTTCAATTACAGTCAGGGGCAGAGAAACCACACTGCATTTCTCTCCCACTCCATTTCTGTTACAGATTAAGGGGGAAACCACACCACATCTGCCCCCATTTCAATTACACTGGGGAGACGCACACCACGCAGCTTTCCCCACTGTAGTTATAGACAGCAGGAGGGGGGAGGAGAACCCCCCCCCCATACTTCCCCCCAATTCTCGTAGCAGACAGAAAGAGGGGAAGGAAGGGGGGAACCAAACTATATTTTCCCCACACACCCCACTTCAAACACAGATGGGGGGGGGGGAACCACACAATATTCCCCCCACCCTCCATTGCAGGTCCAGGTGGGGAGTGGGGGGGAACCGCTCCTTCACACACAGGCAGCCTGCAGAAAGAGGGGTTCGCCCTCTTCTTTTCCTTCACTCCCCCGGGATTTTGGGGATGGGGAAGCTTCTGACTCGGCCATCTCCCAGCTCAGCCCTCTCCTGCACTGGGGCCTTCCCCCCCGCCAGCGCCCTCCTACACTGGGGTGCTGTCCCTCCCCCCTGCCCCGCTCCTCTCCTGCGCGGGGGTAGTTTGTGGGCTCTGACCTCGGCGGATCCCCTCCACCCCGAGGCGGCAGCTCCAGCGGGAAGAGAGAGGGTCGCCCGCTCCCCACGCCGAGGCCCAGGCTACCGCACTTACCCCAGCACCCGCCCTGCTGCCTCTCCGGCCTCGCCTCGCCTCGCCCCCAGAGCGGGCGGCGGCGCAGCGCGAGGAGGTGAAGACGGTAACGGCCGCGCCCCGCCCCCCAGACCCCCGCGGCAGCGCCAACGCCGGCCCCTCCCCCGCCCCCCACGGCGGCCTCCTGCCAGCCCCGCCCCGCATAGAACGCGGGCCCCGCCTCCGCCTCTCGCGCCGTCACTCCCTGCCCCGCCCCGTCGGACCGCCCCGGAGAGCGGCGAATCAGAACCAGCCGGCTCGTTGCTAGGTAGAAGAGCCGGCGCCCCGCGGCCCCGGCCCTGATTGGCTGCTTCTCCCAGGGCGCTCGAAGCTGTTTCCATGGCAAACGGAATAAACTTGCCGGGAGAAGAGGAGACCGGGCCGCGGCGGGGGGCGCGACTCCGGAGCACAGGAGGCCAGGTGAGAGCGCGGGGGCGGGGCGTGTCCCCGCCAGGGGGCATCGATATCCCGGGGGGGGGGGGGCGCTCGGGGTATCGCCTCCATGGCGGTCAGGGGTTTATCGGCTGCTCACGGGCACTGGGGTATCGATTCCCGAGACACGGGGGGGGGGGGGGGGGGTTTCTGAGGAGCATAGGGCAGCACTTGGATTACCAGCTGGGGGGGGCGGCGGGGGGCTATCACAGGGCAGGGGGCGCACCAGGGGTATAAATGCTGCGGGGTGCAGGGGACCCTGGGGATTCTTCACGATGCCGGACATGGGGGCACAAGGGATGGAGGGCATTGGGGGATAGTGGTACCACAGGGCAGAGGGGGGCACTAGGTATAGGTAATACTTGGGGGGGGGGGGTGGTATCGGGGGATATCAGTGCCGCAGGGGGATATTAGCTGCAGGGGGAGCACCGGGAATGTAGAGAACCACAGGGGCCATTGGGGGATACTAGCGTCGCAGGCTGCCGTGGGGCACATCAGTTCCACGGGGTGCAGGGGGAGAACTGGAAATATACAGTACAGTGCAGGGTCCTGGGGGATGTCAGGGTCCGGGGAGCACTGGGAATGGGCAATGCTGTGGGTGCGTGGTGCAGGGGGGATATCAGTGCTGCCGCGTGAAACGGGGAGCACTGGAGGGAATTGATGCCATAAAGCACAGGGGGCTCTGGAGGCTGGCAGAATGCAGGAGAGCTGATGGTTTTGATGCCATGAAGAGCACAGGGCTTACTGGGCTTTCAGGGCTTCAAGGCCCAAGATGGGCCCTGGCCGAGGATCAGTGCCATGGGGCTGTGGTGGAGGTTATAGATGCCCCAAGGCATGGGGGAGCCGTGAGACTTAGAGACTGTGAAGGGCACAGGGGGAATCAGTGATATAGAGTACCAGGGGTACTGAGGGGTATTGACACTGCAGGAATAATAGGGAGTATTGGTTTCATGGGGTGTGTGGGGCACTGGGGTATCGATGTCACAGCAGGAGACTTGGGAGGAATTGATGCCAAGGGCGGCACTAGAGGCTATCAATGCTGTGGGAAGCAAAGGGGATATAGATACTGCAGTGCAGTAGGGAGTATCGACTCTGTGGGGCTGTATGCAGGACTACTGATGCTGCAGAGCACAGGTGGCAAGGGGAGAGTTTTCATTGCCACAGGTCATTCATGGGAGAGGGAAGAGGGCCGCAGGGCTATTAATGCCACAGGGTGCAGGGAGTCCAGGAGGTATCAAAGCCCCAGAGTGCAGGGAGCACTGTGGGGGGTGGGTATCACTGCCGTGGAGGCTCAGGAGAGATCAGTGTACCCTGATTGGGGGCATTAAAGCTGTGGGTCACAGGTAAGAGCTGTGGAAGGGACTGATGTCATGGGTGCCCTGGGGGGGATCATTTCCACTGGGAAGCGCGGAGACGATCAATGCTGTGGGGTGTAGAACTGGGGATATTAATGCCTGGAGTGGAAAAGGGTATTGATAATATAGGGTATGGGTCCCCCACAGGTATTGAGACCACTGGGGATGCGAGGGTGTCAACTCTGGAGTACTGAAGGGTGTCAATGCCATAGGGTAATTGTTGGCAGAGGGGGCACTTAGTGGGACACAACACCTTGCAATGAGATGCAGCATCAAGAAGACCATTTTGCTGCCCATCCACTCAACAGCTTCCCATCATCTCTCTCTGTTTCACATTATTTCCCCCAGATCAATCCTCTTGTAGTTTCTCATGTTGAATCTCATATACTTGATTCTTTTTGTTCTGTATACGCTAATCTCTCTGGTTTACCTTTCTATTACTATGGTTTGCAACACTTGAAATACACAGAGGACAGTAGATGTGAATTAACTACTGTTGACTCCCAGGATGATCATTTACAAGCAGTCCTCTCTTCCTTTCTAAACCTTAGAGTTTGGTTAGTTCATTCCAGGTGAAAGTTCTCTTATACCATCATGTGGATTATGGTCATTAGATTATTTCTGAGTAACTTGTTTTTAAACCTCTGGGAACATGAATCTCTGAAGAGCCAGGAAGGCTTAATAAAACAGTGCCTCTGGAAGACTTACTCTGACTATGATTTGCAGAAGGCCCTGAAATGGTATTCCAGAGGGTTAAGCCTAGATTAACATTAGCTAAAGGAAATGAGTTTAATGCCCTTAGTTAATATGATCTGATCAAACATAGCATTAATCTTTCTTAAATGCAATCAAATTATTTTTTAAAACAAAGGGTTTGACCCAGCTTCTATTGAAATAAAAGAAAGTCTTCATTATCTTTAATGGGAGTTGGATCAGGGGGACTGAAATCATTCTGCTGTGGTAAACAACTTCATTTGCAAGTAGAAAAGGAGTACTTGTGGCACCTTAGAGTACAAGTACTCCTTTTCTTTTTGCGAATACAGACTAACACGGCTGTTCCTCTGAAACCTTTCATTTGCAAGTAGTGCACAACTGTATCATAAGGCAACCAATAAAATCATGTTCTAGAACACAAGGATTTGTCTGCTTGATTCTTATATCAAAGGAGCGCATATACCAATACAGTTCTGGATTCTAAGGAGCACCACGGATATTACCCATATAGTCAATGTTACCCCTGGCTATACAGAATAATACTGAGTACTTGTGTGGCCCATTTAACCTTCAAAGCACTGTACAAAGATTCATTATCTAACTGAATTGTGAAGGAACCATTTCAAGAGCTAATCTCCACTGGACTGGTGCTGGACAGCTTGGGGAGGAAATGTTGCCTAGCCTAAGAGGAGGCTTAGTGACCCAGAAAGTACCAAAGAAGAGAGTTGATAAAGGTACAGCAACTCAGTAAATGCCATGGGGACAATTAGGGTAACTCTTATCCATTGTGACAGAGTCGGGCCAGATGGCTATAGGAGAGTAATAGAAGGCAGATATATTAGCCCCAGGCTAAGTAGGTCCCTTTTCCCTGGGTAAGGTAACAGAGAAGGTTCCAGAACAATCAGGGCACCTGGGTTTTAAAAAGGAGCTCACTTCAGTTCGTGGTGTGCGTGTGAGGAGCTGGGAGCAAGAGGCACTAGGAGAGTGAGAACGCGGACTGTTGGAGGACTGAGGTATACAAGCATTATCAGACACCAGGAGGAAGGTCCTATGGTGAGGATAAAGAAGGAGTCGGGAGGAGGCCATGGGGAAGTAGCCCAGGGAGTTGTAGCTGTCGCACAGCTGTTCTAGGAGGCACTCTACACAGCTGCATTCCACAGGGCCTGGGCTGGAACCCAGAGTAGAGGGCAGGCCCGGGTTCCCCTAAAATCCTCCCAACTCCTGGTCAGACACAGGAGGAGTCGACCTGGACTGTGGGTTCAGAAAAACGGCCAAGCTGAGGGCTGCCATAAAGCTCCAAGGCGAGCAAATCTGCCAATAAGCGCAAGACCCACCAAGGTAGAGCAGGAACTTTGTCACACCATCAAGCATCTCCTTGCAGCTGGGTGTGGTACTGCAGTCCTCTTTGCACTTCTGGCACCCCATATAGGTTGTCAACATTGGATGGCAGGACTTCAGTGGCTCAGCTCCCCACCCAAGTCACAAAGTCCAAATGAACCCCTTCTGGAGTAGTACAGAGTTCAATAACTAAGCAATCTGTTTGCCCTCCCTAGAGTCTTCAGCCCTAGCTATGAGCCCTTTAAATTCTGCTTTTTGTTCAGGCTCCTAACTAAGGCCTGCCCCTTCTTGGGGCTTACACCATTTTAACTGTGATCAGTAGGGGAACCTACCCTGTACCCTACTGGGGGTCACAACCAGGGACCCTATACATAGCTGCCACATACTGCTCAGTAGGTCAGTTCTTTGCTACTGTTTGTCTGGACCTTTTCCTACCAGGCCCTTTTATCTCCAGCTCAGCACCAGCATCCTCAGGGTCTTCTCTCTCTGCAATCTCTCTGTGAGTTCAGCCTACCATAAACTTTACTTATTTGTGCAGCTCCTGCAGCCAAAGAAGAACTCCTACTCCTTCGCTCCTGCCCAAAAATTGACCTGCTAAGGGACTGCAGCTGCTTTTATTTGAGCCTGTTGGGCTCTGATTGGCTGTCGCTAGACCTTCTAGCCCTTGGAGAAACACGTCTCTCTGGCTTCTAAGATGGCTGTTCAAGTGGGCTTTTCTAGGAAGGACTACAGGACCTACCTTTTCCTCCCACCTCACTGTATGCGGGGGCAGGATGTAGAAGAGCAGCAGGGATCCATATGAGGTGAACCAATTGAGTTTGCTGCTAACATGTACTGTCTGTTTCTAGCCCTACTGATTTATTACATGAGTACAGCAATGGAAAAGTGTTCAATTGCCTAAGTGGTATATACCTCAATAGCATTCATCACCATATATTTTTGACAGGTCTCCACGCCTCATTTTGGGCTTATGTCCTGCCATCCGTTCCCATTTCCGTTGGTGTTGAGGTTTGGTGCTGTTGGCCATTTTGAAAAAGATTTTTTTATTATTATTTTTTATGTTTGAATAGGGGGCTTGTTGCAGTTTATGTTTGGCCACGTTTAGAGGCAAAGGTTGAAAAAATAGAAAGAGAGATTACAAAAAAGAAATATTTGGTTAGGGTTAGAGGACAAAATGAAATAATGTTTGGTTAGGTTTAGTAAGGAGAGATGCTTTTAAAGGCCTAGTTTGGCATGTTATTAAATAATAGAGAGAACTTAAAGAAAAATAAAGGTTTTTTTTGTTTTTAAAGCCAGGCACTCCATCAGTAATCTTTTCATCAACCTATTATTAAGCACATCCGTATACTAGCGTTTAACCCCCGCCTTACATAGATATATTTCTTTTCTTTCAAATAATTTAAGTTGCTTTTATCTGATCATGCTCTTCTGGTTCTGTCAGCCACTCATCACACACCAGTGTGGTGATCCTGTGTGGCCCTGGCTTGGTTATCTGTCCAAAAAAATAAAAAAATTAATTTTAAGCGGATAAATGTAATAATTTTTTCACAACTGGTAAAACTTTCACTTGCTTTTACCGTA